CAAATCTAAAACTTTATACCCATTACACTTCTTCTTTTCCACATCCCTTCAGCCCATGGTAGCCAGCGTCATACTTTCTGTTTCTATGAATTTGGCTACTCTAGGTACCTCACCCATGTAAGCAGAATTATGTTATTTATAGTTTTTTGTCACTGGTTTATTTCACTTAAGCATAATATCTTCAAGGTTCATCTATGTTGTAGTACATGTCAGAATTTCCTTCCTTATTAAAGGCTGAATAATATTCCATTATATGCAGCTACCACATTTTGTTTATCCATTCATCTATTGATGGACATCTGGGCTGCTCCCACCTCTTAGCTATGAATGGTGCTGCTATGAACATGGATATACAAATACCTCTCTGAAACCCTCTTTGGATATATAGTATAGTCAGAGATGGGACTGCTGTATCATATGGTAGCTGTATATATTTTTGAAATATTTTTGGCACTGGGGATCAAACCCAGGGGTGCTTTATCACTGAGCTATACCACCAATCCTTTTTGTTTTTTGAGACAAGGTCTCACTAAGTTGATTAGGGCCTTGCTAAGTTGAAGCTGACCTTGAACTAATTATCTTCCTGTCTCAGCCTCTCCAGCCATTGGGATTACGATGTGCACCACCACAACCAGAGTTAACTGTATTTTTAAATTTATTTTTATTTTTTATTTTTGCAGTGCTAGGGACCAAACCCAGGGTCTCACACATATTAAAGTTAAGAGCTCTACCACTGAGCCACATTCCTAGCCCTCTATTTTTTATTTTTTGAGAAACCTCCATAGCATTTTCCAGATCAGCAGTAGCATTTTACACTACCACCAAAAGTGCACAAGGTTCAGATTTTTCCACACCTTTCCCACACGTGCTACTGTCATATTTTTTTTGACACAAGTCAGACTAATGGTTGTAAAGCTGGTCCTTCTTTTGTATGTTCCAATTTTCTCTTTTGTGCCTAACTCATATAGCCCAGTTTTATCTAAAAATAAAAAAATAAAAAACTCTTTCCTTAACTACATATCCTCTTCTAGCTAACACCCATTTTTCTGTTCTTCTTTACAATAAAATTCCTTGCAAGACTGTTAAACATTCATGATCTACAGTTCTCCCATTCTCTCCTGACAATCTCCATGGAAACTCTTGACACTACTTACAGCATATCCTTGGCCAAATCAGATCTCAGTACTCATATTGCTTGTTTTCTCTGTAGTATTCAAAACAATTGATTATTTCTTCTTTCTTGAGGCAAATACTTTACATAGTCTCTGAGACACCATTCTCTCAGTTCTCCCTCTATTTCACTGTCTAGTTCTCGAAAAATTTTTGTGATTCTTTCTTATCTCCATGGTTTCTCAACTGTGAAGTTCCCTTGGCTTTGTCCTCAGTCTTCTCTCTCCACATGTATTTGCTCCTCCCAAGGTAACCTCATGTAGTTTTGTGAATAAAAATCATATATATGCTGATGACCCTTACATTTAGATCTCCAGTGCCAACCTCTTCCCCAAACTACAGATTTTTAAATGTCATTACCTAATCAACATCTTCCCTTGGATCTCAAATTTAATGTGCTCCAAACTGCTCTGCTGAATCCATTCAGAGGCTCCTCTTTTTACAGACATTTTCATCTCAGTAATGCCAACTCTACCAGTACCGGTATTTCAAGTCAAAACCTTAATATAATCCTCGACTATTCTTTTCCTTCCACTAATATATTGTTCGACTCTTGCTCCCACATATTTATGCTCCATATAGAGGCAATCTGATCTTTTTTTCAAAGGAGTTTGCGCATATTGCTTGTCTTCCCACCAAAATAAAATCCAAAGTCCTCACTACTATATGCTCTGTATGACGTAACCCTTATTAGTTGTTGACCTTATCTTCTACTATCCCTCTACCTGTTCACTCTGTTCTAGACAACTCCCTCCCAGCTGAATATGCCAAGTGCATGCACATCTTAGGAATGCTTGTTCTTGGTGTTATTGGTGCTCAGAATATCCCCTCCCCACAAATTTATATGACTTGCTCACTCACTTCTTTCAGATCTCTGCTCAGTAAATTACCTTATAAGAAGGCTGTCTCAACTACCCTATAAAAAACAGCACCATTGTCCACGGTTACCAGTTGTTCTCTATTCTGGCTATCATCTGATATACTGTATATTTTTCATAACTTGTTTCCCCCATGACTGTAATATCAACAAGGGCAGGATCTTTATTCATTACTATGTCCTTAGTACTTAAATAGTATCTATTACATAATAGGTACTGAAATAAATATTTCTGAATGAATGAACTAAAGAAGAGACAACTTCCTATAGAGTAGGGAGGGGATTACTTCCTGAGTGTTAGAAAGATTAACTGTTAGGATAGGGCCTGGCTGTGGCCCTGGTCACACATGTCATCTTTTGCTACTATGCCTTTCAAAAGGAAATTTTGTCCTATCAATTTCTATCATAAAAGGTTGGATTTTCACCTCATTTTGCTTCTTGTTCTTTCTATAAAAGACATTTTTATAATCAAAAGTTCATAAAGACCTGCAATGAATTGCAGATGGTTTAGCCTGTTAACAAAACACATTGCTATAGGGAAAGAATAGCAGAAAAGGCAAGATTATACGCTATATACATATTTTCAGGCACATTAACCCAATGGATTTGACTTTTGGGGAGAGGTGGGAGCAAAACAGTATTATTTACACTTATGGGATAAAAAGGAGGAAGGAAGCAAAGAAGTTTAATTTTATCATTTGAAGAAAATACCTCAATAAAAGCTCCAAGTGGTCAAACACAAGCTGTAACAATAGATGAGGATAAGGAAGGTTGTCAGTGATTGCTCCTGACTGCATATTCCGGGGCTCAGTAAATATTTTCTTAAATATTTAAGAAAGTAAATATTTTAGTCTTCTGGGTCATATGGTCTCTATGGCAATTATTCAACTCTACTGCTGTAGTGCAAAAGTAACTAAATGCAGTAAGTAAATTCAGGGACATGGCCATGTTCCAATACATATTCATTTACAAGAACAGGCAACAGGGTGGACTTAGCCTGCAGGCCATGGTGTGCTGATCCCTGTCAGAGACTACCAAATACATGCCTATGGTACTGGAATAACTCTTCTTTTTCCCTCTCTACAATTTTTCTGTAAGTCAAATAACTATGGAGTCAAAACAAGGATGGCTACATCTTTTCACAAAGGGTCTATGTACAAGTAAGTCTTTTAAGTGCTAAGACTATCCCAGAAAAAAAATGAGCCAATTCCAAGCAAAGGAGTCTGTGCAGGGGTAGAAAAAGAAATAATGGCTGTTTTATGCAAAGCAGGAGGCCTGTGTTCTCTGGGTAAAAGGGACAGAATGCAGAAAAGAAAGTGTATCTACTGGAAAGGTGGACAATAAAAGAAGAGGCTAACAGACAGAAAACATCTGATAGTGAGCATATTCTACAATATAAGCCTAGTCAAAAAAGAATTGTGATGTATCCTTTAAAAGACAGAGGCTTTCAAACTTTTTTGATTGCAACTGATATTGAGAAATATATTTTCTCATCATGATTCAGTAAAAACTTTACTGTAAGCAATACGAATTTGTACTTTTCCCCCAGACTATTAAAAAAAAAAAATGGTGGTCAAAAGCAGCTGAATTGATTTACAATCCAGTATTGGGCTGTGCTAAAAATCACTGACTTGAGCAGTGATAACATGGATCTTCAACTTCTTTAACAATGATAAAGAAGAAACTGCAAGATTATTAATAAAGGATATCTCAAATCTTTATAGTCCCAAAACTTGGAGTGTTCTACTATAATAAGGAAGAGAAGGAAAGGCACTGCTTCTTGGTAGGACACAGTAATCCAACACCTCTGCATTAAAAACTAGAGGCAAAAACATCAGTTAAACTGCAAGCTGTTGAAAGCACTAACTTAAGGTAGACTGTGATACTTCAGAGATGAATACTGAAATCTCTACAGCAACTATGAAAACAAAAACACAAGCATTACAACTAAGAAGGCAACAACAGAGAATAAAAGAAAATTAACAAAAAAGAAAATGGTTCTTGTTTCTTGGGAATGGAGGAAGGAACAGGGATTTAAAAGGGCTATAGGCGAAGACAGTTGTGTCCTTCTAAGAAAAGTTTGAACTTAGGCTTCTGGGAGACTGACCTCCAGAGTCAACATTTTGGATTAATAACAATAACAATCAGAATTCTGGGCTAGGGGAAGAACCTATTTGGATCCCTAGACAAAGCCAAGATCTAGATGGAACACAGAATGGATGGCCATTGACATTCGAGGAAGACGGCACACAAAATGGTTGCTTGTGACCTTCCTGGAAGTTACAACAGAAGTAGTAAGAATATAAATCTCTCTTATAAGAGATCCTTACAGTATGGGAATTCTCTGGGATAAAAAGCTAACCTCCAAAGCTTAACTAATTTGTTTTAACTAATTAGAAGCATTAATAAGCAGAGACTCCTTCAGATTTCAAGAACATTTGCTGCTGAACTCTAAGAGAATAACTAAAAGCATCACCAGAAACAAACATGTTTATCAATATTCTTTCCAACTTCCCTGCCCAAACCAAGACTTACATCTCCCAAAGGATAAAATTTGCCAAAAATACAATGTTATGAATGATCTTTCAAACTTCTCTGTCAGTCTTTAGAATTTATCTTGACTTTAAAATTTCTTAAGCTTTGATTTGGGACTAAAACTAGTATATATAAGCTTTGTGAGTATGTGATCAAGTAAATGGGTTAGTTTGTTAAAAAATAAGTTTATTGAAGATATTTATATTGTAACAAGATAGAGCATCCTTATTTTAATAAAATATAACATGATAAAATAATATTTCAACTTATGAGGCAGACACTGTGTAAATAAGAACTTTTCCACACTTGAGATTACTTAATTTTAATCTGAAGGTACTCTGAAGTATCTTATTTAATCTCTATGTTTTTTAAATGAGGAACTAAGAATATAATAAACACAAAGAATACATGTTTTTACCTCTCCCAATGAAAAATAGTGACGTGGAATTTGAGAATCAGGGTAAATATTCTCTAGGTACCAAGAAAAAGGTTTGCATTGTAGTTTGTGTCTTAGACCAAGTCTTGATGATATATCCCCATAATCTACCTTTGTAACACCTGTTGAAAGAAATAATTAATGCTGAATTATTAGTGTCCTATCAAGAGAATACAAATCCATTTATATGTTGATTCTAATAAGACAGTTGAATAGAAAAGTGGTATTATTTAGGTGACATGATTACATAGTTACATATCCACCTCTAACATATAAAACAAGGAAAAGACATTAAATGTATTTTAATCTTTCAAAAGAAAACTACATTTATGTGAGAATAAAATACATATTAACAATATATGCAAATACAAGCTATATGGGAATCAAACTTTAATATATCTTCTGGAAAAACAAAAAAAAATCAAAATCTATTTTTCTAAATAATAAATAGTACACTTGTTTCCAGTCAGGTTTCTCTTACACAACTCACTGAATTGTACACACTACTATTTGTTAGACTTGTGGTAACTGAAAAATGAGGACAGAATTGTAACAATGTAAGGCGGATTTATAGCTAATGAAACAATAGTTCCCATAAAACTCTGAATAGCAGAGAAATGTCCCTAGAGACCATGTTCAAGAGCTTTGCAAAGGACTTGTGATATTAGACAATTTAACAAAATCTTGTATGATGGCTTCAAGAGCCTGCTTTCACAGAATAATCATGACCTACTGCTAAAACACTGTTCTGTTTTTGTTTTTTTTTTGATCAAAAAAAGTTAAGAATCCAGAAAGTCATACAAGCCTGGAAAATAGCTGAAACATCACAGAATAAACGTCAAACACTGCAGTTAGGTTAAAAAAGAAGAAGGAAGAGGAGGAGGAAGAGAAGAAGAGGAGAAGAGGGGAGGAAGAAGAAGATGAGGAGGAAGAGGAAGAAAAGGAGATAGAGGAGGTGGGGCGGGAGAAGAGGAAGAAGAAGATGAAGATTATGACAACCACTACCAACCACCACCACCACCACCTGGGCTGGCAAAAGTGACCATGATAATTTAGTATTATTGCCAATAATACTAAAGTATTATATATTACTAGTATTTTTTTTTTAATTTTTAATATTTATTTTTTAGTTATTGGCGGACACAACATCTTTGTTTGTATGTGGTGCTGAGGATCGAACCCGGGCCGCACGCATGGCAGGCGAGCGTGCTACCACTTGAGCCACATCCCCAGCCCCTATATTACTAGTATTATATAATACTAAAGTGCTGGGCACTTTGCCAAGCACATTCTATACTGTGGTTTCATTACTTCTTACCATGACCTCATTATAGGGCAAGTGTTCATGCTCAAAGCTTCATTTCTACCCTCTTGCCTCTCTTCAGAATGCATAGATCGGGGAAAAAAGTATATAGCCTTTTATTTCTAATGCAAAATAAACTAACCTGGAGAAATTATATAGAAGAAATTCTTGAATTCATCCATCCATACTTCTGCAAGTCGTCTGTTATTTTTATTGATAATTTGCCCTGTGCCTCCTGGAAATGTGTATGGGGTAGCCTTCCGAAACACATGTCCAACATGTGAGCAAGTGACAATTTCCAAAGTTCCTCCACACTGCCAAATCTGAACACAATGCAAAGAAGACCATGTAATACATTGCTCAGTATCCAGGAAAAGATAATCTTAGTCTTCCCATTGCAATTTTCCTTTCAAATGAGTAGAGGTTTGGCTTTTATTTAATCTTAAATGGAAAATCTTCATTTACTGTTAAAAACCTTCCAAACTACCTTCACACTACCAAATCTGAAAACAGTAAAGAAGGCCATATCAAACATTGATTTTCTTAAAAAAAAAAAAAAAAAAAAAAAAACCCAAACCATTGACATCAATTGAGTTTTATAGCTGGAATTTCAGAGAATCCCAGGCAAACAGTGGTTATTTGATTACAAAGCCACTGCTTCTCAGGAGCAAATGTTTCTCCAATCATCAATTTTGAACAAATGAAAAATAGCAGATTAAAACACAGAAAAGATAGATTAAAGGCTAAATACAGAAGAGACAGAAGATGTTAAACACTTATTTTTGTAAACACAGGCCAGGATTCATAAGAGGATCATAAATTCAAATATCAGAATTACGACCAGTCCTCGTTAACAAGGACATACTATGGCTTTATTTGTGTATAATGTGTTTATTAATGTGATTCTTGGTGAAAAAACAAAAAAACAAAACAAAACAAAACATGAAACTGGCCATGTAGTAACCAGGCAGATTTTCTTTCCTCCCTTCTCTAATCTGTGTCACTATTTGTACATTAGACAGAACATAGGAATTGAAATCAGATCCATCATAAGTTCTTTAGGGAGATAGTGATAATATGTTTTGTGGTAAAAACAATAAAAACAAAAAAGGGGGAAAAGATCAAGTATGAGGACAAGTATTTAATGCAAAATACTTGTCCTTTCAAATATATTTTCTCCCTAAATTAAAAATCTCATATAGCTATTTGCAATTAAAATCACATTTTGAAAGGTTTTGATTTTATTAACTATTTACAGCCTATCTTCAAGTTTACCCAGGATCTAAAAAGTGTTAAAGCTGGATAGATCTAGAGGATCTAGGGCCCAACCCTCTCCTTTTACAAGAGGGCAAAGGGATTCACTAGAAATAAGTGAGCTCAAGGGTTCAGATTACAGTACCCTTCAGTATGGTTTCTATTATAGTGAGATATGTGTTGTGAGTTAATTACTGAAGAATATATAACGTCATCTAAATATGTTGATTTTAGTGAACATGAAATGGTTTTGATATAAGGTCAACTGTGTTAAATTAATTTAGAGCCAGTTTTAGAAGTTTTGCACTCTATTTTTTATTGAAAAATTTAAAGCTGATAAAATGACCAGGTATTATATATAAATGAAAAATTTTCATATAAGACAAAAAGTATATCACAGAATATGAAATTAAGTTTTAGCAGTTAAGTACCAAAGTAACATATATAAACTACATATTATTTTTTAGAGCTTGAATTGTTTCCTTGAAAATGATAGAAATTAAAAACAATTAGGGAATCTTATGTAAATTTTATAATTGGACTATTAAGATAATTAATTGTATTAAATGAACCCTTAATAGTATTCCCAAAGTTTTTATGGGCCAAAGGCTTTGGAGTCAGATTAAACTCACATTAACTTCAATTTTATTTTTTATTTAGAGATAACATGAATAATCAAAGCATAATATTTGAGGTTAAATACAAGACTTAATTTTTTCAAAAGGAACTTACCCTAAAGGAAATTTCTAAGTTTTCTCCTCCCCAAATATCCATTCCAGCATCATATGTTCCAATTTCCTGAAAGTAATCTCTGTCTATTGAAAAAAGGCCTCCTGCCATTGTAGGTGTTCTGAAATTCAATCATAATACTATACCATTAATATTAATGATTAAAAATTTACAATGAATTTTTTAAAATTATTTATTTGTTATTAGAATAACAAATAATAGAATAGAATAAATTTGTTATTTCATTTCTCTGTACACAAAGTAGAGTCACACTATTTGTATCTTCGTACATGTACTGAGGGTAATGATGTCCATCTCATTCCACCATCTTTCCTACTACAATGAGTTTTTGTTTTTAAAAGATACTATAGTTTTGAAACTGTTTCTAACTACAGAATAATGCTTATTCTCACTCTTCAAAAACTTTCAAAGGCTTCTAAGGGCTTCTGGTGTCAGACAAGACTTGCATACTGCTTAGGCTATCTGCTGGACCCACTGTCATCGTTTCTGCCTGGATATCCCTCACTGTGCAAGTCTTAAGGATGTTCCCTGTCTTGAGCACCTTTCTCTGTCCTCAATTCTGACTTAGATTCCACTTCAAACTCCTTAAACTGAAGCTATTCCTCATAATCCTCTCCATGTGACTGTGTACACATTACACAGTTCCTAGCAATTATAAAGGCAGTTAGTTGATTATATGAACTCAGGTTAGAGTTATATGCCAGGTTCAAAAAGGTGGCAAATACTCCAAAGTCATAATATTAAATAGGATGAAAATGATAAGGCCCCTTTCCTATGCTTAACAGAATAATTTAATAATTCTATTAAATCTTAATGATTCTATTAAATATTCTTTTTTTGGGGGGGGATACCAGGGATTGAACTCGGGGGCACTAGACCACATCCTAGCCCTATTTTGTATTTTATTTAGAGACAGGGTCTCATTGAGTTGCTTAGTGCCTTGCTTTTGCTGAAGATGGCTTCGAACTCGCGTCCTCCTGCCTCAGCCTCCTAAGCCACTAGGATCACAGGTGTGTGCCACCGTACCCAGCCCATTAAATATTCTTAATAAAATCATCACCTTGACCAAGTACGGTATGTTTTCTCCAAAATGGAGCCCAAATCATTGCGCCAGGTATGCAAGGGATTGGGGTTGGCGGGCATAAGTGGATTAAGCAGAGAAATCATAATAAAGAATAATTTCAGGGAGATTTCATTTATTTAAAATGAGTATAAGTTAATCATTTTATTTCCACAAAGAATGAGTATGGAGATAACACAGACTCCAGCAAGGAAAAAGTAAGTACTAGGGTCTGAGGATATTATAAAGATTATATTTTAAGATGAACTGGTCACTTCTATAGCCCTAAAATATATTTAATTCCATGGTCTACTTAAGATAACAGCACTTGCCTATTAGTGTTGAAAATTGTTTCCAAAAAAAGTTTGGACTTATTTTGATCTTAGAAGAGAAAAAGAATGAGAAAAGGCTAAAAATATTAGGAATCAAAGGACACAGGCCAACATGCAGAGCTACTGTTTAGTATAGGGATACCTGACCTGCTAAAATCTTCTCTAAGGCCATGTGCATCTTTTCCCATTGGAGAAGACCCATGTCTTTCATCAGACTTTCAAATACGTCCATCATCTTCAAATTGTTGAAGAACCCCTAATTTAGATGTTGAATTGAACTAACATCTACAGAGAGGGAATGTACCTTGTTCTGGTAAGAACTCAGGCTAGCTTAGGAAAAAAAAAACACAGTGAAAAATCTCAACTTAGCTAGAACTGGACTTGAATTCATGGGAAAGCAGACCTCAGAAGTCCAGAATAGGAGAAAGCAGAAGCCTAAAGAAACGGAAAGAACTCTTAAATACTACAGAAGCAACATGTGGATGCAACTGGGATAAATCCTAGATGATGCAGAAAGTGCAAAGATCTCATATCCTGAACTACATAAAGATTTTTCTGGGGAAAAAAAAATCTATATATAGTCAAATGTGAAACAAAATAAAAATTAAAAAATGAATTAATGGATATCTTTTTTGTACTTTGTTAATTCTAGTTATTTTTATGTTTGAAAAAGCTCTGCTAGCCTTACCAGATAGGAACTATCATCCAGATGGTATGAGACTGAATTAAAAGTCTTCTCTTGTAGTGCAAGGATCCAGTTTTAAGTAATGTTTTTATATACTGACACAATTCATTAAGGGTCAGTTTGATTTATGCTAAATATCATTATCTTTAACAAATGAATTAAAGCAGATTGGACATTTTCAAAATGATCATAGAGAAATGAAATAATATGTCATCATATTTCATGTATGTTAGATTTTTAGAATACATGGAAAAGTTCTAATTTTATTAACTGATTGGAGGAAAAATTCCTTTTAAAAATATTGGTATATGTGAAATTGACTCTTAAACTACATATAAGATACGCAATTACTTCATGGTTCTCCAATGACACTTATAATCTTTTTGATATGACTCCCAAAGCTTTACAATCCTCTGTCAATAATACTTTAGGGAAAACAGATTAGTTACCTGACAGGAAGAGTCCTATCACCTTTCCTTCTGTCCATTTCTCTCTGGGGAACAGGATACCATCGAAAATTAAGCTTCCAGTTGAATCCACCATAAGTCATATCAGAGCCTGCCATGTACTCAAAAGTATCATCACTGATCACATCAATGATAGGACATACCACTGTTCTCCTAATATCATAAAAAGCAATTTAAAAATCTTTCAGAATGTTGCTGCTTACCATAGTTATGTAACAATTATACACCAATTGTTTTTAAAATAAAAACATATTCTATAATGTTAAAGATAAGGATGAAAAAACTTCCTGCAGTAGCTAACATCATGATTATGTGTTGGTTGATAATCTTCTGTCCCTTTTTCATTTACACTTCTGCATATATGCCACATGTAAAAAATGCAAACTATTTCTATAGGTTTTTAAGATTACACTTTTAGTGACTATAGTCATTTCAAAGTATTTTCTTAATAAACAACTCTTGGACATTTGTGTTCTTTACAGTTTTTTTTTTTTTTTTTTTGCTAATGAGATACTAAGTGAATATGTTTATGTACACAAACTTTAACTGTTGCCTTAAGAGTAAACTTCCAGCAGTGAGATTAGTAAATTAAAGGCTCTATTCCTTCTTGTTTTCCAGAAATGTTATATGCATATGTACAGACTTCTTCCTGCAGCTTTCCCATAATGCTATCAATTTTGGATGTTTTTTCTTATATAATAACACTAAATAATATCTCTGTATTTTAAAAATTGCATTTTCTAATTATTAATATACTTTTCCTTCAGGTTTGTATTTCTTCATACAAACTAGTTGATCATAAATTGAAGGGATTTTCAACTGGTATATTGGGGTTTTAAAAATAAGTCTGAAATGAATGACAACAGCTCTTTCTAAGGGAATGTGCCCTAGAGTCTTTGCTAGCCAAATTTTATAGTATGTAATATCCTACCCAGCCTTTGATCTTATTTAAGAAATCTTTCCCTCCCCCAAGATCATAAAATTGATCGCATGTATGAGGCCCTGGGTTCAATCCCCAGCATCATCCAAAAAAAAAAAAAAAAAAAAAAAAAAACCCTCAAAGAAGTATATTTTTGCTTTTCACATTTAAGTCTTTAATCTTTAAGAAATTGATTTTGGGTATGATAAGCAGAGGTATCCAACCTTATTTTCCTTAGGGATTACCAATTGTTCCAGCACTATTTATTTCATAGTCCTTTTTCCTCTGCTATAATTATCAGCACCTGCTCTGTCATAAACTCTATCTAAATCAAGTATGCATGTGGAAATGGGCTGATTTCTGGAGGCTGCCCTTTCACTAGTCTTTTTATGAATTCCTACAACAATATGTCATTGTCATAATTAATATAGCTTTAAAATAAATCTTTACAGTTGGCAGAACAAGTTCCCTTATGCTTACTCCCTCTAGGACCATCTTAACCATTTTTGTTCTTTTTTGCATTTCCATGAAAATGTTAGAACCAGCTTGTCAAGCTTCTCAAAAAATAAAAATATTCTTCTGAGGTTTCAATTGAAAACTCATTGAATTTATAGACCAATTTGAGAAAAGTTGGTATTTTTATGATAATGACTTTGTGTGTGTGGGGGAGTGCGCTAAAGATTGAACCCAGGGCTGCTTTGTGCATGTGAGGCAAGCACCCTACCAACTGAGCTATATCCCTAGCCCCCAATAATGACTTTTCTATTCATAAATATAAGCCTTATCTTCCCTTATTTCACTTTGATTTATTTTTCAGTGAATTTTAGTAGTTTCATATTTCATGCATCTTTTAATAGTATAATCCTAAGTACAGATTATGATTTCTATCACTATTTTAAATGGTATCTTTTGTTTTTACTATATATTTTCTAACTATTCCTTGCTGGTTTAGAGAGAGCAATTTACTTTTCTCATATTTGGCCATATTGTTAAATTCTTATAATTTCGTATACAGATTATCCTTCACAGACAAGAATATCATTTGCAATTCAGAGTATTTTTTTTCCCCTTGTACTGCAAAATTTAAGATTTCTAATGATACCAACAGAGGTGATTCAGGATTTTTTTTCCTTTTGGTGCTCTGGATCAAACCCATGTACTCACATGTGCTCTACCAGTGAGCTACACCCACAGCCCAATTCAGGGCATTCTTATTTTTCTCCCTATCTTTTCAAAAAACAAACTCACTATGTTGCCCAGCTGGGCTTGTATTTGAGATGCTCCCATCTCAATCTCCAAAACAGCTGGGTTTCAGGTGTACACCACCACATTGCTGCTTTCAACAGTTTTTCTTTTATATAGCGTTTGCTTATGAAGGGTTTTTATTTTTTTTTTAAAGCATTCTTTCTTGGATTAGTAAATTTCCATTCCATAATTGCTTACTAAGTATTTTCTTATAACAAATGGATGTTAAGTTTTAGTGAACGCTCTTTTTCTCTATTTATAGAAGTGATCTCAGAGGCTTCTAATAAGTTTGTAATTATAGTTTTACTATTACAGAATGGATTTTAAACTAAACCAATTAGTTATATGTGTGTATGTGTGTGTGTGTGTGTGTGTGTGTATGTTTTGATGGGTTCAATTTGCAGGTATTGTGAAATTTTTATGCTAGCATTCACAATGGGTTTGGGCTATAATTTTCCTCATAGTTCTTTCTGTTTTTTTGTAAGCAAGTTACTCTAGCCTTAGAGTTTGGTTGTTTCCATTTTTTCTATACTCTGTTTTACAAATCCTTATGGGAAAGTTGTTTCCCCTCTTCCATCCCATACTAAGGTTGAGACAGGCAAGTTTATTTTGATATGGTGGAGTCTATATCTCATTCTCACACTGAGGTATAGATTTCAGATCACAGCTTTATATGGGTATTTGCTATTAATCTTCCCATCTTAGGTAAGGCCTAGGCTTTGCCTCCTGTCCTCTCATGTTATTTACCTATCAAGGCAAAAGCTCAGTGTCTCCAGAGTTCAGCATAAACTATGTAATTGAAAGCTGGCTTTAATGTTTGGATAGCTCATTTGCTCTCACTTTGTTATAAGACTGGCAAAATTCTTAAAACCTCTGTGTCAACTCAATGATGCATTTAAAATTTTGTTTTTTTATTTTATCTGATATTTTATCTTTTTCACTTGAAAAAGTTACTCAGAACATCTAATCCACCACACAGCCCAAAATGGAAGTAACTGTGTTTGTTATTTTGGCCAGTTCTCTTTTATACTGTTGTCACGGCACACTGCTTTCTCTCTATGGGTTCAAACTCTTGTTTCTAAAGGTTATGTTATCTTTATGCAACCAAATCATTCCTAAATCTCAGACAGAGCTGAGATGACCTGTCCCAATGTTACCCTAAAGAGCAGGGACAGGAAAGGTTTATATCCTGCCATCCTCGAGTTCATTGTCCAGATGTTTGCTCTTGTTTGGTGGTGAATATTTAACAATATGCTTCCTAATTCATTCCCACTAATAAAATAGTTTGTACACATTATTGCCAGAGTTTAGGTCATGCTCTTCTTACTTTGTTTAGAATCTTCAGGGCTTTTTTTTTTTATACAGGGGATTGAATACTCGGAACCCTTAACCGCTGAGCCACATCACCAGCACTTTTTATTTTTATTTTGAGACAGGGTCTCACTAAGTTATTTAGGGCCTTGCTAAGTTGCTGGGGCTGGCTTCAAACTTGTGATCTTTCTACCTTAGCTTTCTGAGTTGCTGGGATTAAGGCATTTGGCACCAAGCACGGCTTTTTAAGGACATTTTAAAAACAATTCAAGAAGAAATTATTTTTGTATTTATTTAAAAATAAAGAAATCTTCCAACTCATCATGCAGTCTAGGACAAATGTACTGAGAACAAATTTAAGACTCCAAAAAATTACCTGTCATGTTTGATCCTTGCTAAGAGAGGCTCCAGCCATCCCACTGTGCACTCACAATGAGCATCTAAGAAGGTGATCACCTGGCCTTTGGACACTGCAGCTCCTTTCAATCTAGCTCTGATCAATCCAGAACGCTGTTCCATTCGAATTACATGAACTGGCACTTTGAGTTTCTTCACATAACTCTCTAGAGGTCTTTTCAAAAAGTCTGAAAAAATTAACAAAACAATATCATGAAAACTTCTGATCTAGATGTAAAGCAATTTTGATTTGCAGTATTCCTTTAATGCGTATTTACTAAGCACTCCCAGTGGGGATCCATGCCTCACAATGTATTTCCCTGAAGGAAGACTTTCCATTTCATGACAGCATGGACTAGAGCTGCCTCCTTTTATTACATGTGGAGCTCTGACAGCATCTTTGGCTCTGGCTTCACCAAGGACAGGCATGTCACAACACTTCTCTAAGTAACTCTGCCAGGCTTAATGCTTCATTTTCTAACCATACTTAAGGATCATCAATACAAAGGAAGTAGTTTAAGAGTATTAAATCCTGACCTCAACAGAGAGAAGAGAATATGCCACAGCTATTACAGTTCTGAAAATTGTGAAATTTCCTCAGAGGCAGAAACACTCTGTCTTATTGATTGCCACAGTCTCTGATTATACAGTTTTTTTATTAGGAGGAAAGAAGTGAGGTGAAACAAATGAGAAATACTAGACTGTAACTGCAAGGCCACAGAGAGATCCTTAACAGAAAAGTAGGTCTAAGAAAAAAGCTTTTAAGAGGGAGGAGCAATTAAAGATGAAAAGGAAGTAAAAAGGAAAGGGAGAACTATCTTGGAGAGGTCATATAAGAGGTTATTATCTGTAAGGCAAGCATGTCCTGCCTGCAAAGTTCACAACTGACTAAAAAGTAGAAAAGACACAGCTTTATCAAAGCAAAGAGAAAAGATCTTTTGAATCAGATCACTTTTTAGGATTTTATGGCAGAGAAGTTATCGATCAATGGTAACATGACCAGATGTCTTCAACTAGTCCCCATGTGACAAATGTAAGGATAATTTCTGTAGGAATGGAAATATTGAGATGGAACTACTGGGATTTCTCTGACTAGCTCTATCTAATAGGACTCTAGCAATTCACAGAAATCAGGATGTAAATTAAGGGGTTCTTTAAATATTGAGCATAGGAATCCAAAGTACTTCCTATATAGTGGGGTAGGGAGGACAAATGGAAGTGATGTGATTCCTGTTTGGTAAAAGCAAAATGAGTCAATAATGAAGTAATCAGGGATATAGAAACCATCCAGATTACAAGTAATTTCCATTTCTGCTAATATACTTCCTAATATTTGAGCTAAAAATAGTATCTAACAAATATCAGTATGGTTTTATGAACTAAGCCTTCAGATCAGGAATACCTAATTAGATTATGAGTAAAAAGGTGGGAACTGCAAATCCCAGGAAAAAAGCAACATTTTGCAGTTAGCAGCTAACATTTTGTGCCTATTTAGCACAACGCTAACTTGTTACATGTTTTACCTCACTTAATCTTCACAACCACCCTGTGAGGTTAAATGTTATTATGCATACTTCAGAAATGAAAATCTAAGACTCAGAAAGTTATATAAATTCAATCAAGGTGACACAGCTTGTTATGGGGTTGGATGCAAGAGTCAAACCCAGGTCTACCTGCCTTCAAAGCCCACCTTTTTGTCCAAAGCAAGAAAACCCTAGAAGGAAACGCTAAAGAGAACAATTTAGGGTTGTGGAAACACCTGATCCAGCATCAATTTAAAATACTCTATCTTGAGAATTTGACAGAATCTCATGTGGTAGGTATGAGATATATTCTTGTACCTAAGTTTAGAAAAGTTGATTGTATCATAAAAAGTGTCTCCCAACAAGTTTTTCCAAAAAAAATATTAAAAATTTAGTGTAAAATACTTCCTAAAAACTAAAGTAATCTAACCCCCAGATCCACACCTTTGAAATACATAACTGTTTCTAGTTGATGCACAAAATAAAAAATACATGAGACTGTGTATGATAATGTAACAAACTCATTATTTTACAAATTTTCTTGGCATCTTTGTGGTTTTCATGCAATAAGACTAAAAAAACACTGTTGTCTTTTTTTCAGTTCATACAGAATTATAGACTCAAGACTGGGCGGGAAAGTAGGAATATCAAGTCACACTTTACAAAAATGAAGCCATGAGAAGTGAAGTGACTGTGGTTAGAAGCTACTATCTTTTCTTCAACTATTTATACTAATAATTCATGGGGTCCATACCTCCACATTTTTGTTTTCACTCTTTCTGAGATATAAAGTTTCAAGATTTCATCTTTCAGCATTATAGGTTTTCTGCCTCAAAGATTTGAGCAGTATTCCTGTTCCTTTAGTAAAGAGATGAAAGTACATGTTTTTAATCTTCCCTTTTACAAAGTATTAAAATAAAGATTTTTTAAAAGCCATTACTTCACATAAAAATAAGAGTGAATCTTGTTTATTAGAATATCTATAGTTATTGTCCTATAAATGGACCCCTAAACAACTCTCCATCAGGAAGTATGAAGCTATTAGTGAGAAAGGGAAAATCTCACCATTCATAGCAACATCTGAGAAATATTAATTGGAACTCTAAAGAGTAGTAGGAAGAGCAAGAAATGTAGAAGCTAATAAATCTGACTAATTTGACTTCCTTATGTGTAAAATGAGAAAAACAACAACCATCTCTGATTAGGAATCTTATACAAATTCTAAGAGTTAAGATAAACTTTTAAAGTTATGATCCCATAACTACTGACACAAACTAGGGATTCATTCTTTCTGGGACTTCATTACAGATCATACAATAGTAAAGTTCTGTCAGAGGCAATCAGAAGTGATGTATGCAGAAGTTACGAGGTCAGGCCCTGAGTTTACAGAGTCTAGATATTAAATAGGGTTAATTGTAGCACCTACTTCACACTTTTTTAATAAATAGAGCTGCTACGGAGGTTAACTGTGAAATCAAGTACTCTTGAGGCCATGCGCAGACAATGCATACCATATACTCCAATTAGAAAGTATAAGACAAATTTTAAAAAAAGAAAGTCTGCACAGAGCATTAAAGGATGGTAGAACATGCATTCAATAAATTTGCACTATGTAAATAGTCTGTGGGCACTGAGGAGATAATCGTGAGCAAGCAACCCTGATGGAGGGATTAGTATAATAGAAGAACATAGACATTAAACATACAAGTCAATAATGGAAACTCTGTTAAGCACTGTGGAAGAATAGGAAGTGTTCCAAGATGTGTTCAGAGAGACGTGACAGGGTCTGGAGAGGTCAAGGAATCCCTCTCTAAATAATCCCATTTGAACTGAAATTCTGAAGATGATGAGATGTTAAGTAGGCTGGGGAAATGGCAGAGATGAGTACTTCCTGGAGAACATGTTCTAGAATAAAGAATAGCAACAGTAGAGGTGAAAGGTTCTGAGACAGAAAGAATGGTTCTTTTAACAAATTCAAAGAAGAAAATTATGAATAAAGGACAGAAGTACAGGACCAGAGTGGCAGGGAATGGTTCAAGAAGTGCCTGGAAATGCCAGATAGAGTTAGGTGACATAAACCTTAATCAGAGAAGTCACACAGTCATGTTTTTATAATTAAAGGCCCATTCTGTTCATTCTGGGGTAAACAGATGGGAAGGGCTATCTAAATAATTCTCAATCTGTACAGCAATACAAGGAAAATAATACCTAAGGTTCCCCTATATCAAACATGAGGACCTGGATACTTGACACTTTCTAAGAAAAAAGATAAAAAGAGAATCAGATCCCAGAACAGAGACTCTGAGGTAGCATTCAGGAGACCCTGCCTGGAAATTAAGAGCCTTGGGTGAACCAGCAAAGCAGACATCCTCCCACATCAGTTTTCACTCAGATTTACAAAACTTGGGACATTAAGTAAAGGCCTGCATGAGGCAAGGGAAAGAGAGCTGGCATACTTGAGTTCACTTTAGAGTGAACACTTTAGTTTGGGTACAAACACATTTCCAAGGAAGCCATATTCTACCCAAACTTACTTCTATACAGCCTTTTCAGGCATTCACAGAGTAAGAGAAAAACCAAAGGAGGAAATGAAAAAAGAATTCATTCTGTTTGTGGAAAAATCTCTCTCCTTGAGAAATATTTAATTTAGCAAATATTAACACATAAGTAAATCAAGCACAAATCACTTGCAGGATGTTTGTACCACGATGTACTGCATAATGCTATTTTGGTCAAGGATGGACCGTATATATGATGGTGGTCCACAAAATTACATCACTTAGTGTTGGCACAGCTGTCTTAGTTTGTGTAAGTACACTTTGTGTTTGCACAATGATAGTCACCTAGCAATAAATTTTTCAGAACTGTTCCCATTATTAAGCAATACATGACTTTTATATATTGCTCCTTAAATTAAATTAGGTTAATTTTATTGAAGAGGAATAAACTTCTAGGAAAAAGTTATCCATATGAAACTTATATTTTTATTGTCAATAGTAATTATTTCTTTGTTAAGGCTGGTGATTTATAACAACTCTCATTTCACACTGAGTTGTTACACATTAGAGTATTTATGTTTTGTGTGATTACAAATTATTCCTTTAATTAGGGTAAGGAAGAAGATACAAGGCACTTGAGAAGTTAACGTATTATTATTATTTATTATTTTTTTTTTTTGAGGTGCTGGGGATCCAATTCAGGGCCTTGTACATGCTAGGTTAGCACTCTACCAAAGAGCTATATCCCTAGCCCTAGAACCATATCTTATTCTTCATTTGTACCTGTATAATCTGGCAAAATAACATTTAAATTGTTATTTTTTAAAATATTTATTTTTTAATTGTAGTTGGACACAATACCTTTATTTTATTTATTTATTTTTAATGTGGTGCTGAGAATCGAACCCAGGACCTCGCACTTGGTAGGTAAGAGCTCTACTGCTAAACCATAACCTCAGCCCTAAATTGTTATTAACACATAATTTACTCCCCATAATTAATATTCAGTGTAGACACAGAAATGAAGGGTAGAATATCTGACTAAACCATCTTAGGAGACACAATGATAGAGTAGGTAAGATAAGTTGAAGACAATAATAAAAGAAGTTAAAACAATGGGTCATGAAGTTTAAAGCTGAAGGAAGGAAGGAAAAGCAATAGGAAGCTGTTTTCTGTAATGCTTTCCAAATTTTTCTTATCTAAACATAGGAATACTGGGGGAACACACAACACCAATGATCCCTAAATAGATGTACTGTGGGGCGGGGGGATAAGAAAATTAGGAAATATTGGCTGAGTTTGACAAGTTTCTCTACTGATGGACTAAGTTTTTTTTCTATAGTACACTGCATTGTGAAATCTACAAGGATTCAGAATAAATAATGCGAGCCCATTACATTAATTTAACTTTTCCCAAAAGAGTGCTTTATGAAACTGTTTAGGAGACTGTAAGCTTATGAAAAATTCTGAGATTTTTAGAAGAATATATGGGCAAGAGTTATTGCAGAGATTTATTAAGAGATTAGAGTCTTTTATTACATTACATACTAGGGATTGAACTTGGGAGTACTTTACCACTGAGTAACATCACCAGCCTTTTTTATTTTTTATCCTGAGATAGGGTCTCACTAAGTTGCTGAGATTGGCCTCAAATATTGTGATCCTCTTGCCTTAAGACTCCCAAGTTGCTGGGATTACAGATGTGCACCACAGTGCTTCGCTCATCCTTCTTAATCTTTTAATGGACTTAAGATTTCTGAAACTTGGAAATAAAGAAATAGGGAAACCCCACAGAAATAGAAAGAATCTGAAGAACTAAGGGCTCTCCAGCTTAAGACTCCATTTTGCTGTCAAAGGTACTTCCTATACATAGAACTAAAATTCTCCATTTATGGCTATAAGTAGGATCTAGTCGTCTTTTCACTGACTCAGGGCTGCAGCTTTCCACAGAAGAAATTCTAACAAAATTATGTGGTTTTTTAAAACTGTTCTCATAAACATTTACATTATAAAGCATTTACCACAAGCACATCAGACAGAGCACTATTCTAGGATATATAAAGCACTCAAAAACCTTAACACCAAAAAAACCCAAATAATCCAATCAATAAATGGACCAAAGAACTGAACAGACACTTCTCAGAAGATGATATACAACAGTAAACAAACATATAAAAAAAATGTTCAACATCTCTAGCAATTAGAGAAATGCAAATCAAAAGTCTCTTAAGATTTCATCTCACTCCAGTCAGAATGGCAGCTATTAAGAATACAAACAACAATGAGTGTTGGCGAGGATGTGGGGAGAAAGGCATACTCATACATTGCTGGTGGAACTACAAAATTGTGCTGCCAATCTGGAAAGCAGTGTGGAGATTCCTTGGAAAACTTGAAATGGAACCACCATTTGATGTAGCTCCTCGGTATATACCCAAAGAACTTAAAAACAGCATACTACAGGGACACAGCCATATCAATGTTTATAGCAGCACAATTCACAATAGCTACTTTGTGGAACCAATCCAGATGCCCTTCAGTAGATGAATGGATAAAGAAACTGTGGTATGGGGCTGGGGATGTGGCTCAAGCAGTGGCGCGCTCGCCTGGCATGCGTGCGGCCCAGGTTCGATCCTCAGCACCACATACCAACAAAGATGTTGTGTCTGCCGAGAACTAAAAAATAAATATTAAAAAAACTCTCTCTCTCTCTCTCTCTTTAAAAAAAAAAAGAAAGAAACTGTGGTATATATACACAATGGAACATTACTCAGCATTAAAAGCGAATAAAATTATGGAATTTGCAGGTAAATGGATGGAGTTGGAGAATATAATGCTAAGTGAAGCAAGCCAATCCCAAAAAACCAAAGCCAAATGTTTTCTTTGATATAAGGATGCTAACTCATAATGGCTATGGGGGGGGGGGGGGCGTGCGGCATGGAGGAACTTTAGATAGGGCAAAGGGGAAGACGGGGAAGGGAGGGAGCAAGGAGGTAGGAATGATGGTGGAATGAGTTAGACATCATTACCCTAAGTACATGTATGAAGACACAAAATGGCTTGAAAAATTGTGCTCTATATGTGTAATATGAAATAAATTGCATTCTGCTACCATGTATAACAAACTAGAATAAATAATTTAAAAAACATAAAATAAGATTAAGATGTGATACAAATTAAATGCTAAATGAATACTCTGAATTTTTTCAAAAAAATTACAAGTTTGTATAAAATCATTATAGAAATTATAGCAACTAATTTGTAAACTATTAGTGATAAAACGTGTAGGATATCACTGCCATCAAAATTTACCTCTTTCACTGGCATCATCTACTAGAACAATTTCTTCTATCATGTGTCTTGGTGAGCGATTAATGACACTATGGACAGTTCGCAGAAGTGTGCTCCAAGCCTCATTATGGAAAACAATCACGACACTTGTTGTAGGAAGATTATCTGGATACACCTTTGTTTTACACCTAAAAACAAAGAAAATACCTTTATAAAAAGTGACTGTTAAAGATAATACAACAAATCAATCTGGACTAGAAGGGATGAAAGAACAATAAAAATGGTATGATTTAGTGGCAAGTCTGTTAGTACCTTTTATTTAGGTTGTGATTAATGTCATATATTTAATAAATACCTATTTAAAGCAATAAGTTATTTTAAAGATGTTGCTCATAATTTTAAAATCAAATACCCCTTCCTGATAAATGTTTATAGTTGATTCATTTCAATGTAAAATAAACTAAGGCTGTCTTATTATCAATCCCACACTAAATGTATTTTAAGAATCCAATTAAACAAAAAAATCAGAAACACTAGTTTAGTTTAATAACCTAAACAAAACTATAACTTCTACAAAGAAAGAGAAATAGCATTTACTGAGTACCTATTATGTACCAAGTTCTTATTTTTCCTATTCATTCTGTAAGGAAAACTAAAGTCACATGTCACACTCACGTGACAAGCCAAGACAGAGATAACTAAAAAGCACCAGCAGGGCCTGACTGAAGACCTCACAGCCCAGGTTCTGCTGACCAAACTCCTTGTGCTGCTGCTTCCATAACTAATTATCAACTAAATGCATCTCATTTAGTAAAGATTGTGCTTACACATGCAAACATCAGAAAGATCAAACAAACCCAAAATATATTCACACAAAATCAATACATTACATTGTATTTTTCTAGCACTGTGTTAAGTACAAGGTGTCTTCCTTCAACCTTGTTAGCTAGATATTACTAGAGAACAGATACCAAGAGAATAGTAGTAAGCAATCACCTATTAAGGGATGTGTTTTTAAAATCTAAGCTTCCAGGAGCTGGGGATGTGGCTCAAGCGGTAACGTGCTTGCCTGGCATGCGTGGGGCGCTGGGTTCGATCCTCAGCACCACATAAAAATAAAATAAAGATGTTGTGTCCACCGAAACTAAAAAAATAAATATTAAAAAAATTCTCTCTCTAAAAAATAAATAAATAAAATAAAAAATCTAAGCCTCCTAAAAAGAGCGTCTGTAACTCCCTGTTAGATATCCACACTTGTAATAGTTTCTCCAGTCTTTCTTCCTTTTTTCCCTGCTCTCTCTCAAAAACCTAGTGCTTCTTACACTGTTATAAATTTGGAGAGTGGAAAATGGGAAGAAGGGAAAGGGAATGAGGAAAACATCAACCAAACTCCTCTTCTGATGCTTCTGTACACCCCTACTTACTGTACACTCTACCCTGGGGCTTCTCACAGGCAGTAGGAAGAAAAGGGAAAGGGTAGGAAAAATGATGACAAGGTAAAGGGGATAAAAGGAAAAAGAAAGGAAATCACTGTAGAGCCCCATCAGTCCTTGTTCCTCTGCTCTCCTAGAGAAAAAGGACCAAATGAGTAGTTTTCACTGTCATTCACTATATACCATTTCAGCTCCTCTCATCCTTTTTTACCAAATTCCCATGACCTGGGCTTTCCAGCATGGTCTCCATCCTATTACCAGGAACCTATCTAGCTGCAACTGATCCACAATGCCCACAGCCTTATTTCCACTTCTCTGTCCATGCCCCATTTACCCTGTTTACTCAAAGCCATTGTATATGATCTCTTTGCCCAATTTAATCCTTATTATTTTAACAGAATTGGGAAGGAGAACACAGCCAAGGTTATTGCATAGCTGCTGGTTTACCAAAATAACAAAAAGAAAAAAAATCAAGAGAAACAGAAGGTTATTAGGTAAAACATACCAAGAGCATTGTTAGCCACGTACATGGCAAGAAAAGCAGAAAGCAATAGAAGGCCCATACAGTCTGCTACACTCTGTAGCGCCTTTCCTCCAAGTCTGAAATAAAAAGACAGGACCCAAAAGACTAACTACGTAGGCCATAAAAAAGTGTGTCCCTAGAATTCCTAATAACACTTCTGAAAAGTTTCCTATCACAACTTTGTCATAAACAGTAGCTAGATAATTTATATTTATATAATATTATGCTTCAGGTATGGAATAAGTAATCAAGCCAATATTCAATGTTTTATGAGGATGCATCCTGAATGTCTGACTTGAAAATTACTAGCACAAGACTGTGAAATCAGGAATGGCCTGGGTATGAGCCAAGAAGTTCTGAGAAAGTTTCTTTTATTATTTAGCTGGATTGTATTGTGTCATATATGGTCGCTTTTCCTAAGTTAATCCTTATTAGACAGTAGGTTTTGCAGAAAAGAAGTAGTGATTCAGATTTATTTACTGAATGATATGTTAAAGAATTAAATTTTAAAACTGTATGGAAAAAAATAAGATTATAAGAACATAGTATTCAAAAAGAGAAAATTAGAAGAAAACAAATAACCCAATCAACAAATGGGCCAAGGATCTGAACAAACACTTCTCAGACGATGATATACAATCAATCAACAAATACACGGAAAAAATGCTCACCATCTCTAGCAATCAGAGAAATGCAAATTAAAACCACTCTAAGATACCATCTCACTCCAGTAAGAATGGCAGCCATTATGAAGTCAAACAATAATAAGTGCTGGCAAAGATGTGGGGAAAAGGGTACACTTGTACATTGCTGGTGGGACTGCAAATTGGTTCAGCCAATTTGGAAAGCAGTATGGAGATTCCTTGGAAAGCTGGGAATGGAATCACCATTTGACCCAGCTATTCCCCCCTTCTCGGACTATACCCAAAAGACCTAAAAAGAGCATACAACAGGGACACGGCTACATCAATGTTCATAGCAGCACAATTCACAATAGATTAATAGACTGTGGAACCAACCCAGATGCCCTTCAATAGATGAATGGATAAAAAAAATGTGGCATTTATACACAATGGAATATTACTCAGCACTAAAAAACAACAAAATCATGGCATTTGCAGGGAAATGGATGGCATTAGAGCAGATTATGCTAAGTGAAGCTAGCCAATCCCTAAAAAACAAATGCAGAATGTCTTCTTTGATATAAGGGGGGTGACTCAAAACAGAGCAGGGAGGAAGAGCATGAGAAGAAGATTACCATGAAATAGGGATGAGAGGTGCGTGGGAATGGGAGAGAGAAGGGGAATTGCACGGAAGATGATAGGAGACCCTCACTGTTATGCAAAATTACATATAAGATGGTGTGATGGGGAAGAAAAAAGAGAGAGAGAAACGTGTCACAGTAGATTGGGTAGAAAGAGGTGATGGGAGGGGGGGATGGGAAGGGTAGCAGAATACAATAGACACTAGTATGGCCCTATGTATAAACGTGGCTGTATAACCAATGTGATCCTGCAATCTGTACACATGGAAAAATAAGATTACGTACCCCATTTGAATCAAATGTATGATATGTCAAGATCATTGTAATGTTTTGAGCAACTAATAAAAAAATTTAAAAAAAAAAGAAAATTAGGATCCAGGAAAATTATATACAGAAGAATAGATGACAAAAGTTAAATAATATCCTAAGTCTAATAGTTAAACATAATAATTCAGAGACCACAACAAATTTGCCCAGGGTAATATTCTCCCAAAGTAAATCAGAAAGTACCACAAAGAGTGGGAAAATCATGCATGCTCATGAAGATACACAAACCCACCTGGAGAGCCATAAAACACTTGAGAAGAACCAAAGAACCTTTTGGAATTGTAGATCAGCTTTTATAATGGAGAGACCACCTGTCTGTGTGCAATGATCTACACATGACTCACAGGCTGAAAGTCTGGTCTTTTAGTGTGGTGATGTTGACAGCTATTAGAACCTTTACAAGGTGGGCTATATATAGTGAGAGGTCACTGGAACTGCTGCCCTTGGGAGAAGTGATGTAGTTCTTGTAGGATCCTAGTTAGTTCTCTCAAGAAGGCTGTTATAAAATATCGAGCCTGACCCCATATTGGCTTTGTTATAAACAGTAGCTAGATTATTTATATTTTTATAATATTATGCTTCAGGTATGGAATAAGTAATAAGACCTTCACCTCCTGTGAGATTTATCACTCTCACATGTACTCCCACCATATGACATATACCATGGGGGTACCTCATTATACTATTTAGAGTTACAGCCTCCAAAACTGTGAGCTAAATAAACCTCTTCTCTTTTTTTCTCCATTTATTTTTATTGATGTGTCATAGTTGTACATAATAGAATTTGTTGTTACATATTCGAACATATACATAATATAACAATAGAATTTGGTCAATACCATTCCCCAATATTTTTTTATAAAGTTCCAACCTCAGGTATTTCTTTATTATAATGGAAAATGAACTAAATAACATTTTTTTTGTTGTTGTTGGGGGGAATTCACAGAATGCAGAGCTGAGGATGAGCAGAAAGGCCCCAGGCAGTGTTATAAAGCAGATTCCACTCACCATGACACAACTCAGTCTTTAATCTTCAATCATGAAACTAGCCAGAGTAAGGGATAATTTTTAAAAGTTACAGACAAGATTAACAAGATTACAGAGTTAGGAAGAAAGGGAAATGTTTTCCCTTTTTTACTGAAATATAATACAAATATAATAGAAATACATATAAAACACTGACAAATCATTAAGTGTTTAGATGAATGAACTTCCTCAAAGTGCAATGGCTTCCACTGTGCTCCTTCTCCCCAGGATTTCTAATATTACAGTTGAGTTTTACCTGTTTATAAAGCAGTAGTACTCTTAATTTTTTTTAAATTTAATGATCCCTTTATGCTTAGAAATTAAGGACCTGAAAAAGCTTTTGTTTAAGTGGGTTATATCTATTGCTATTTTCAATGTTACAAATTAAGACAGAACTTTTAAAAGCAGGAGAACCCATAAACTCATCACCACCAACTACCAGAGATAACCCATTGTGTCATATGGTGCCCATTATACATTTATTGCCTTCAAGCTCTAAACAGATTTTTCATTTTCAGTTCTATGACACTGGCCCCTCCAAGTGGTTCTCCTTTGCAAGGGGCATCATGTATACAGAAGCTCTGTTAATGGAGGGTGTTGGAGGAACGCTGCAGG